ACATTTTAATGACATCAAAAGCACAGGCAACAAAAACAAAAATAAACATATGGGATTACATCAAACTACAAAGCCTCTGCATAGCAAAGGAAACAACTGACAGAATGAAGAGGCCACCAACCCAAGAGAAGGGAGAGTTTGCATATCAGATATCTGATAAGGGGTTAATGTCCAGGATATATGGGGAATTCCTGCAATTCTAAAGCAAAAATCTAATAACCTGTTTTAAAGTGAGTTAGGGACTTCCCTGGCCCAGTAGCTCATTTGGTTAGAGCATTGTCTCAATACACCAAGGTTGCAGTTTGATCCCTGGTCAGGACACATACCAGAAGCAACCTATGAATGCATAAATAAGTGGAACAGCAAATCTCTCTCAATCTCTCTCTCCCTCTCTCCCCCACTTAAGTCAATAAATTAAAAAAAAAAAAAAAAAAGAGCTAGGGACTTGAGTGGACATTTCTCCAAAGAAGATGTACAAATGGCCAATGGGTATATGAAAAGATGCTCAAAGTCACTAATCATCAGGAAATTGCAAATCAGAACCACAATGAGACACCTGTCAGGATGGCTATTAAAAAAATCAAAAGACAAGTGTTGTTGAGGCTATGGAGAAATTGGAATCCTTGAACACTGCTGATGAAAATGTGAAATGGTACAGCTGCTATGGCTGCTATGGAAAACAGTATGGATGTTCCTCAGAAAGTTAAAAATAGAATTAACATATGATCCACCAATCCCACTTCTGGACATTTATCCAAAAGAATGGAAATCAGCATCGTGAAGCGATATTAGCACCCACATGTTCATTGCAGCACTATTCACAGGAATCAAGATGTGGAACAACTTAAATGTCCATTGACAGGTGAATGGGTAAGGAAAATGTGGAACACGTGCATACATTGGAATACTATTCAGCCTCAAAAAACAAGCTAATTCTGCAGTATGCTACAACATCAATGAACCTTGGTGACATTATGCTAAGTGAAATGAGCCTGTCACAGAATAACAAATACTGCATAATTCCATTTATATGAGGTATCTAAAATAGTCCAAATCATAGCCTCAAAGAATGGAATGGTGGTTGCAGGGCCTGGGTGGGGGAGAGGAAATAGGGAATTACTACGAAGGGCATAAGTTTTAGTTAAGCAAGATCAGTAAATTCTAGAAAACTGCTGTACAACACTGTAGGCTGACCTATATTCAACAATATATTGTACACTTAAAATCTGTTATCAGGATTGACATGTTAAGTGTTCTCACTAAAATAAAATAAATCAAACAAAAATGCAAAGTCGCTGCAGCATTTTGCATTCCAATCAGAAATATGCAAGGGTTCCAGTTTTTTACATCCTCATCAACACTTCCTATTGTTTGTTGTTGATTAAAGCCATTCTAGTGGTTGTATACTGGTATGTCATTGTGGAAACGTATTTGCATTTTACCATGCTGGGTGTATTTTTGTGCGTTTGTTGCCTATTCATATGTATTCTTTAGTGAAATGTCTACTCAAATGTTTTGCCCATTTTTTAAACATTGTCTTTTTACTGTTGAGTTGTAGGAGTTCTCTCTATGTTCTGAATACAAGTTCCCTGTGAGATAGATGGTTTGCAAATATTTTCTCTCACTGCCCCCCCACCAGTACACACTCACATTTTAAATGTTAAGAAATATTACCAAGTTGCTCTCCAAAGAGGAAGCATCAATATATATTTCCACCAACAGCATATGGGAATGCTGGTTTCTCAGCATCTTCACAAACATGAGATGCCACTCGTTGTTAATCTACAAAATTAAAAAATGATATCACGCTGTTTCTAATTTGTCTTCCTTTTATCATTAGGGGGAGCATCTCATCTTGTTTTTTACCAGTGCTTTTCCTCTTCTAAGGAAAAGCATGTTCTTGATGAAACTTTGCATTTTTTCAATTTTGCATCTCTTAAGCCCTAATCATTATTTAGCATCCAGGAAGTGTTTGCTGAATGAATGAAGAGTAATGCTGTGAAGAATAAAGGAGATAATGAACTAAATGAGATAATGAGATAAACTAAAGTACTAATTACAGATCAATTAATATTAGCTGAATCTATGTCCGGAGTCAGGAGGTGAGTGCTATCATGCTCTTGAATTCTCCCCTGCAGGACCTGGGATGGTTGTTGTGAACTCTAAGATTCCAAGAGGCCAGGTTTCTCTGGGGTTTCTCATTGTGTGTTTTTAGGCAAAGTACTTAACTCCTTTGACCCTCCACTTCCTGGCAACAGTCTGAAAAGTGTCTACGAGTTGCATCATGCTTATCAAAAGAGTTATTAGGCAAAAAACATGATATTAATTTATAATAAACCCATATTCATGTATTACTTGAATAAAAAATAAGTTTAAAAATAAGAAAATTTATCAGAATAGGGAAAATAAACCTATATACATAGGGCCAGGACTAATAAAAGATGCTGGCTGCTTTTGTAATGACCTTAAATTTCCTTTTAAATATGTGATTTCAGCCCTGGCTGGTGTGGCTGAGTGAATTGAGTGCCAGCCTGTGAACCAAAGGCTCGCTGGTTTGATTCCCAGTTAGGGCATATGCCTGGGTTGTGGGCCAGGTCCCCAGTTAGGTATGTACAAGAGGCAACTACACATTGATGTTTCTCTTTTTCTCTTTTTCCCTCCCTGCCCTCTCTCTAAAAATAAATAAATAAAAGGGAAAAAAGAAGAAAAATGTGATTTCACACTTGGCCCAGCTTCTCTTCCATCTTTTCCTCAACTCTCTGTCGCCCTCTACTGCTCAGGTATTCTCATTTCAGTGCATTGCAACTTAGCAAATACGATTAATGGAAATATTATTAATGGCCTCTCCCTGATCTTAGTTACCTATATCACCCTCACCAAACCTTGCTCTATTCTTGGCTCTGTGACCAGCACAAGGGATATAAAGCTCACAGACTGGTGGGGGACACAGATTTTTAAGCCCTTATAACCATTATGAGCATGACAAGAAATATTTCTGAGCCAAGCACTCTACTAAGCACATTGCATACGTGAACTTTGAGTCCTACTGACAGCATACAAGGGATCTCATTTACAGAAAAGGAATCAGTCACAAATGTGATTGGTTCAAGATCACAATTTAGTAAACATGGAACATGGATTCTGACTATGATTTGTCTGCCCTCTAAAGCCAGTCTTTTCCTACTACATTTTAACAGAATAAACCAAATGGTGTGAAACACTTAAGTGGGAGCATCTAAATCTACGTTAGGTGTGTGTACCTGGGAAGATTTTACAGCGGAGAGAATCCCTGATTTTGGCAGAGAAGCTGGTCCACACATCAAAAGCAGCAGTAAACAGGGACATAAACTTGGGACCTATTCAGAGAATCAAAGGTTGGGTGGGTGTGAGGGTACAGAGGCAGGAAATGAGCCTAGAATCAGATTGTACATCGCCTCAAAGGCCAGGCTAAGGAAAGTGGGCTCAAAATCCAAGGTCAGTGCTTCTTCATCTGGGGCATGTATACTGAGTGACCTCTGATTGTGATCAAGGTACGAGAAACCACAGGTAAATGTGGCATATCACCTGGAATTTCAGTTGTACTCTAAGGCTTGGGGAAAAAAGTAATCTTGTGTTTTTCTATGAAAGACGTATTATGGAGCCCTGGCTGGTGTGGCTCAGTTGGTCTCCCATTAACTGAAAGGTCATGAGTTTGATTCCCAGTCAGGGCACATGCCTAGGTTGCAGATTCAGTCTTGGTTGGGGTGTATGCCAGAGGCAACTGGTCAATGTTTCTCTCATATTGATGTTTCTTTCTCTCTCCCTTCCTCTTTCTCTGGGATTAAAAGATATATATATATATAGTGAAATTGGATGTAATATGGGTTTTAAAATTAAAACAGATTTCAAAGACATGTAAGCTGCTTCTTGATGAGGAAGTATTTGAAAGCATTCACTCTCTGATGGCCTTAGATATAGGTTAATAGGGAAGATATTTGGGAAGCCATGGATGGTGATGGATAGGAAACCATGGATTGAACTCCACCAACGGCTCTAGATTAGGGCTGGCTGGAATTCAGAAATGAATAGGAACTGATTATCTTTGGAGAGCTTTCAGTCTAGGCTTTATGAAGTTGATTTTGAGCAGGAGAACAAATTAAGAATCAGGTGGAGTTCCTTTCCTCTCTCCCATTTCCTTGACACATTCCTCTTGTAACTCATCCATTCTTTTACTCAAAAAATTTTCACAGCACAACAACTCTCTCTCTTCCTGTGTGACCTTGGACAAATTACTTAACCTTTGTGTACCTGTGTCTCCTCATCTTTAGAATGGGAATATAATAGTACCTATCCCATAGCATAACCAGGAGTGTCGTAGTGAGAATTAAATGAGAATTTGTATAGTGCTCTTAGAATGTGAAAAAAGTTCAGCCCTGTTTAAACATTAGCTACTATAACAATATTATTTGCACAACCTCTACAGCTACTGTGTTCCAGTCATCACCTTGCACAGCCATCAATCCTTAGGTCATTCATGTTGGGAGTACGGATTGGGTCTCACAGGAATACAGAAATAAACCAGACTTCTCTTGCGGTTTTACAGACTTTTAAGTATCTGGCATATAGGAAGTGCTCAAATTGCTCGTTGAATAAATAAATAAGTGTCTACCTACAAAACTGCAAGCTCTTTAAAGGCAGGGCCATTGTTCTAGCTGTGAATTACTAGAAGGAAGAACTTGGTGAGGCACACAGTAGGCACTTAGATGAAGGGATAAAAGACTACAGGCAAAAAAATCATCTAAAGCCACCAAGCTGGCACGAATAAAGTGCTGCAGAAAGGTTGTTAGTTTTACGAGTGTGCAGACCAGAGAAAAAGATTTGACCGTCAAAGACCTAAACGGTGAGGACTGGAGAAAGCCCTGGACTGCAGCGCTGGAAAGGCGCGCGTCAGCTCAGTCCTCCGCGGCTTCCCCTGCGCAGGCCCCGCCCCTTCGCTGGCTCACGTGACTGTGGGCGGGATTCCGGCGGGACCTGGACAAGAGCGACTGGGTAACTGCAAATTGGGTGAGCCATGGCTGGCCTGGTGGACTTTCAAGATGAGGAGCAGGTGAAGTCGTTTCTGGAGAATATGGAGGTGGAGTGCAACTATCAGTGCTACCACGAGAAAGACCCGGACGGTGAGCGCCCCCGGGCCGCCTGGGAGCACGTGGGAGCTCAAGGAGGAGGGGCTTGGGCCGTACAGATCACGTGAGCGACCCCTGAGGGACACTGGAAGAGGTCACGGGCCGGGTACACGTCGGTATGGGGCCTGTGGAGCCCTGACGACCTTGTTTGTTGGGGAGAGTTGCGTTCCACGAGGACTCTGCGGGCTCGCAGCGGGGGAGTGCTCCGCCAGTTTCACCCTGGAGGCTGGGCGGGAAGGAGAAGTGCCTGGATACTTAGGGGAGAGGGACTGGGGATGTATCAGTGAACAGATGAAATTCTCTGTCCTCTTGGAGCTTACATTCCAGTGCGGTGAATTGGGCAATAAACATAAGGAAATAAATGAAATGGTGTGTAGAAAAACAGTAAGGGCAGCTATGGTCGGTGTGGCTCAGTTGGTTGGAGTGTAGTGTCCTGTACACCAAAAGGTTGGGGGTTTGATTCCAGGTCAGGGCACATATCTAGGTTGTGGGTTACATCCCCTGCTCAGGGTCGTATAGGGGATAACCAATAGCTGTTTCTCTCTCACATAGGTGTTTCTGTTTCTCAGTTTCTCTTCATCTCTCTCACTCCTCCCTTTTCTCTCTCTAAAAAATACATAAACATTTTTTTAAAAGAAAGTGCAATAGGAAACAACTGAGAGGTGTTGGGAGTTCAGGAGGTCAATTTAATTTTTTAATAGATGTATGTATGTATAGAGAGAGAAGGGAAGGAAGGGAGAAAGAGTGGGGGAGAGCCCTGGTTGGTGGGTCAGTGGATTGAGTGCCTGCCTGTCTGCAAACCAAAGTATTGCTGCTTTGATTCCCAGCCAGGGCACATGCCAGGGTTGCAGGCCAGGCCCCTAGTTGCGGGTCTGATTCCCTCTCTTTCTCCCTTCCTTCCCGTCTCTAATAAATGAATACAGACTAAAAAAAAAAAAAAAATGGAGAGCAACATCGATATGGGGGAGATAAATAAATGGGTGGCCTCTTGTACACTCCCAGTTGGGGACCTGGCCTCACAGCCCTGGCATGTGCCTTGACTGGGAATCAACCCAGCAACCTTTGAGTTAACAGGTTCTCAGGTTGGCGATCATTGAGTGGTCAGGAGGAATCATTGAAAAAATGGTATTTGAACAATGGAATAAGGTAAGGGAAATCTATGCCAGGTGGAAGTAACACCTAGTGGAAAGGACCTAAGACATGAATGTACTGTGTGTGCTCTGGGAACATTGAGTTGACTTGAGTGTGGGGTGGATGTTGGTGGCCAGAAGGGGACACTCAGAATAGCCAGTGCCTCTGGGTGGTTATCTACTTCCTACTTTATTTTTATAAAGGAAAAAATAAATGGCACTGGTCCTACCTTATAATAGCTTGCAGTCTAGTTTCCCGAACATGACACAGCTATTTCTTGATACTAACCAACCCACAGAGTTGCTCTGTGGTGTAATTGCTTGCAAAGAACCCAGGGTTGTTCTTTGAGGGCTGATCCGTGTCCTAAGTGTAGAAAGAATTCACAGGAGTTGGAGTAACTGAGGAGCAGGAAGGTTGGGAAAGATATCTGAGGTTGGTCAGAAGGAACAGGACTTCCCTGACCACCCAGTCTGTTAACCATTCCCCCAACATGCACAACAAACTGTCTTAAAATCCTGTTTTATTTCAATAACATTTATTATTGTTTGAATATAAATTGTTCATCCATTTATTTATTGTGTTTACCCCTCTAGAATGTAATTTTTAGGAGGGCAAGTGATTGTATTCTCAACATCTGGTACATAAATGAACATAGATGCTCCAATATTGTGGAGTGAAAATGAATGAGAGATGAGTGTTACTGGGAATGAAGAAGGAGCAGAGGGGAGAGATGTCAGAGAGGCTTGCTGGGGCTAGAGACTGCCAAGGAGAGCGAGTTTATTTCCAGCTCTTTTGGTAGCTACTGTTCTTACTGTTTTCAGGCTTCATGTTCCCAGCCTGGCTGAGGAATAGTAAGATGCAGTCATTGAACCACCCCTTTCTTGCTGCTACAAAGACTAGCTCATGGACACTTTTGGTTTTCTGTGTTTGACTACTGAACTTCCTAAGAAGTTCCAGAGCCGGCAGAGTTTCAAAGTCACTGCATCTTTGGGCTGGCCTGGCTGACCGGGAGCAGAAGTGTTGGGGTGAGGAGGAGTCACTGCAGGGGCCAAGGTCTCCCCAGGCCTTATACTGCTCAGTCCCTGCCTAAGAGCAGACAGTGCCATTTGTAGGAATGGCTGAACACCACCAGCATTCTTTGTCATGCTTCAGGAGAACAGAGACTGGTCCTAAATGAAAGACACATCTGGCCTATCACACCTGGAGCCTCTCCACTGTTACAAGTGGCCCCAGACTGAAGAAAAGCTCTTGTCCTCTTTTCACAGGTTGTTATCGGCTAGTAGACTATTTGGAAGGGATCCAGAAGAATTTTCATGAGGCTGCCAAGGTCTTGAAGTTCAACTGTGAAGAGAACAAACACAGTGATAGCTGCTACAAACTGGGGGCCTATTATGTGACTGGAAAAGGTAAGGAGGGCCTTCTTTTTGTGGTCCTTGTCATTGATAGTAATGCTGAACTCATACTGAGCCTTCTTTGCAGAAGGCATTGAGGAAGCACATTGTAGGAGGCTTTGGAAATGAACTCAGCAGAGTGATCAGGGGAAGAGTACGGCCTTGGGGTCTCTCTATTTGCAAGTAGTGAGTGGGAACTTGAGCCAGTCACTTTAACTCTGTGCCTTTTACATCACCTGTAAGATGTAGAAAAATATAGTACTTGCTTCATGGGGTGGTTGTGAGAAGTAAATATATTGAGGTAGGTAACGGCATCAACGCATGCATGCCTAGCCTAGAGGAAGGGATCAATAATAGTTAAATTTGTTCCATATATCTTTTCTCCCGGTGCCCTAATTGTAGTTATCATTGGAGTAGTGCTTAAGTCACTTATTGCTAAATAGCAAATTAGCCCAGCAAACTTATTTCACAAAGTTTCTATGGGTCAGGAATTTGGATGTTGGCTCAGCTGTGTGCCTCTGCGGTCCCTCATGAATTTGCAGACATTAGCCAGGGAGCTAAGGCTGCAGTCATTTGAAGGCTTGAGTGGAACTGAATTTTCCAGTTTAAAGATGACTTACCTCATATGGCTGTTGGTCAAGACTCTGTTTCTTGCCAGAATATCAGGAGACCTCAGATCTTTGTGACATGGATCTCTCTATGTGTCCTCATGCTATGGCATCTGGCGTTCTCCATCCAGAGTGAGTGATCCAAGAGCAAGAAGGAAGCCTCAGTGTCCTTTTTTTAAAAAAATATATTTTATTGATTAGGCTATTACAATTGTCCCAATTTTTCCCCCTTTGCCTCCCTCCACCCAGTACACCCATTCCCTCCAGCGGCCCCTTTCCTTATTTCATGTCCATGGGTCATGCATATAAGTTCTTCAACTACATTGCCTATACTGTTCTTAATACCCCCCTGTTTTGTACCTACCAATTTGTCCTTTTTAATCCCTATACCTTTTCCCCCATTCTCCTCCTATCCCCTCCCAGCTCATAATCCTCCCAATGATTTCCATATCTATGATTCTGTTCCTTTTCTGCTTGTTGGCTTAGTTTGTTTTTTAGATTCAATTGTTGATCATTGTACATATTTTGCCATTTTAATGTTCATAGTTTTGGTCTTCTTTTTCTTGTATAGTTCCCTTTAACATTTCATATAATAATGGCTTGGTGATGATGAATTCCTTTAGTTTTACCTTGTCTGGGAAGCATTTTCTCTGCCCTTCAATTCTAAATGATAGCTTTGCTGGATAGAGTAATCTAGGATGTAGGTCCTTGCTTTTCACCACTTTTAATATTTCTTGCCCAGTCCCTTCTATCCTGCAAAGTACCTTTTGAGAAATCAGGTGACAGTCTTATGGGAACTCCTTTGCAGGTAACTCTGCTTTTCTGTTGCTGCTTTTAAGATTCTCTCTTTAACTTTTGTCATTTTAATTAGGATATGTCTTGGTATGGTTCTCTTTGGATGCAACTTGTTTGGGTCTTGCTCTGTGTGCTTCCTGGTCTTACTTGTATGTCTGTTTCCTTCACCAAGTTAGGGAAGTTTTCTTTCATTATTTTTTTCAAATAAGTTTTCAGTTTCTTGCTCTTCCTCTTCGCCTTCTGGAACCCCTGATTTGGATGTTGGTACGTTTGGAGATGTCCCAGAGACTCCTTATTCTGTTCTCATTTTTTAAAAATTCTTTTTTTCTTTTTACTGTTCAATTTAGTGCTTTTTTTCTTCCTTATGTTCCAAATCGTTGATTTGATTCTTAGCTTCACCCCCTCCACTGTTGGTTCCCTGTGGATTTTTCTTTATTTCACTTAACATAACCTCAATTTCTGCTTGGGTCTTTTTTATGCTGTTGCAGTACCCAGTGATTTTGAAAATCCTGATAACCAGTGTTTTGAACTCGGCATCTGATAGGTTGGTTATCTCCATTTCATTTAGTTCTTTTCCTGGAGTTTTGTTCTGTTCTTTCATTTGGGCCATATTTCTTTGTCTCCTCAACTTGGCAGCCTCCCTGTGTTTGTTTCTGTGTATTAGGTAGAGCTATTTTGACTCCCTGTCTTGATAGTGTGACCTGCTGTAGAAAAAGCACCTGTAAATTGTGTGGGGCAGAGCCTTAGGTAGTCACCAGGGTGGGGTAACCCATTGTACTGCTTTGTGGCTCTGTGTGGGGGAGGGCTCAGTGCTAATGCCTGGCCTCTGGAGATTGCCCGAGAGGAAGCTGTCTCCCTGGCACTCACTCCCTTGCCAGTCACTTCACTTTCTCTCTGTAAGCCACTTGTGCTCTTCTAGCTCTTGCTCTGGTGCTGAATTCCAAAGGGGGTGAGTCTGCATGAGTCCTAAGTCCTTTACAGGCCTTTTAATAGAAGTCTCTTGAGAATCCTGTGGTTTCTTCTGCCGCCCCAACCCCTACCGGCTTTGGTAGTCAGAAGTTATGGAGACTTATCTTTCTGGCACTGGGACCCTGGATGGGTGGTCTGGTCTGGGGCCTGGATCGCTTGCTCCCAAGGTATCCCTCCTAATTTTTATCCACGACACATGAATGTGGGACCTCCCGTTTTGCTGCCTCTCTGTGCCTCTACTTCTCCGCCCCTACCATCTATCTGGATGAATGTGGCTTCTTTAAATCCTTAGTTGTTGGGCTTCCATACAGCTGGATTTTCTGACAAATCTGGGTGATACTTGTTTTGTAATTTTTTGTAGTTTTTTATAAAATTACAAAATACTTGTTTTGTAATTTTTTTGTAATTTTTTGTCTGATTGTAATTTTTTCTGTAGTTGTACACGGAGGCAAAGCTTGTTTTCCTACGCTTCTATCTTGGCTGGAAGTCTCCTCAGTGTCTTTTGATGAATCCTCAGTGACCTACCCTAGGATGTCACACACTTTTCATTCCCATCACATTCTATTTATTTGAAGTGAGTCAGTAAGTCTAGTCCACACTAAGGGGAGAGAACCTAAAAGTCCACCCCTTGAAAGCGAGATTATCAAAGAATTTATGGGCATATTTTAAACCACTACGAATAAAGACTATAACCTTTGGCAGGCAGTTTTTTGTTTTGTTTTTTGCTGACTAGATTTTGAGCTTCTTAAGGATGTTATGATTCATTCATTCCTTGTTCCCAGTGCCCAGTCAAGCCTAGTTAGAAAGATGTTCAGAGAAAGTTTAATGAAGAAGATTGCCTTTTTAACCCTGGCTGGTATGGCTCAGTTGGTTGGCACATCATCTCAAAACCAAAAGGTTGAGGGTTCAGTTCCCAGTTAGGTCACGTACTATGGTTGTGGGTTTGATCCCTGGTCGGGCGTATGTGACCCTTGGTCCAGATGCAGATGATCTCTGGTCCAGGAGTGGATCTCTGCATAAGGGAGGCAACCAGTCAATGCTTCTCTCTTGCATTGATGTTTCTCTCTCTCCCTTCGTCTCTCTAAAACCAATGGAAAAAAAAAAATACCCTCAGGTGAGGATAAGAAAAAAAAAAAAGATGTCTTTTTAAGTCTCTGGAGCTGTGTGGATTATTTCTGCTTTCACACGGGATTTTGGATCTGTGGTTGTCCCTATTTTGATCAAAGTTTAGCATCAACAGGAGTATCAGTTCCCCTTCTGGCGCAGAGGGACATTTCTTTCTTTTAAAAAAAAAAATATATATATATATTTATTTATTTTCAGAGAGAGGGGAAAGAAGGGAGAAAGACAGGGAGAGAAACATCGACGTACAAGAGGTACAATGATTGGTTGCCTCTCGCACGCCCCTAGCCAGGGACTTGGCCTGCCCAGGCATATGCCCTGACTGGGAATTGAACTGGCCGCCTTTTGGTTCACATGCTAGCACTCAATCCACTGAATCACACTAGCCAGGGCAAGAGGGGCATTTCTTTAATCTAGCAATTCTCCTAGTATCTTAACCTAAGGAAATAACTGAAAATGCAAATAAAGTTTATGTGCAAAGATACTTACCCAGCATTATTTACCTGGCAAATTTATCATTAATTTGTACTTTACAAGCCGTGCATAACTGCATTATATTAATTACTTATTTATTTTTATTTTTTAAGATTTTATTTTGGACCAGAGGGGAAGGGAAGGAGAAAGAGAGGGAGAGAAACATCGATGTCAGGGAGAAACATCAATTAGTTTGCCCTCGCATGCCCCCAGCTGGGGGTTTGGCCCACAACCCAGGCATGCCCCTGATTGAGAATCAAACCAGCGACCTTTTGGTTCACAGGCTGGCACTCAACCCACTGAGCCACACCAGTCAGGGCATATTAATTATTTTTTTAAAAACCCTGTGTGCTAACAGTAGCAACTTAGTTAAATAAATATTACTTCCATTGGATGGAATGTTATTTAACCCATTAAAAAAATGTTTCTAGCTCTGGCCGGGTGGCCCAGTTGGTTGAATGTTGTCCTGTACAGCAAAAGGTTGCAAGTTCCATTCCTGTTTGGAGCGCATACCTAGGTTGGGGGTTCTATCTCTGGTCTGGGTGCATATAAGAGGCAGCCGATCAATGTTTCTCTCTCACATTGATGTTTCTCTCTCCCCCTTCTTCTACCTCTAAAATTAATAAAGGCATATCCTCAGATGAGGATTTAAAAACAAACAATGATATTGAAGGGAACCATGGTGAGAAAACAATCACCTCTCATCAGGAGCAACGTAAGTCAGAAGACAAAAGAACAGTAACTTAAATGCTGAAAGAAAAAAACTTGTCAAATTTGAATTTCACTTTAGCAAAAATATCTTTTAAAATGAAGATGAGCCGTGGCTGGTGTGGCTCAGTGGATTGAGCACAGCCTTTGAACCGAAAGGTCATTGCTTCGATTCCTGGTCAGGGCACATGCTTAGGTTGCAGGCCAGGTCCCCAGTTGGGGACATGTGAGAGACATCTCTCACACATTGATGTCCCTCTCTTTCTCCCTTCCCTTCCTCTAAATAAATAAATAAATAAATAAATAAAATCCCTTTTAAAAAATGAAGATGAAATAAATTCATTTTCAGCTAACTAAAAACTGAGAGAATGAGTCACTAACAGACCTATATGACAAGAAATAAAGTTGTTTGGGTTGATGGAAAAATGATAACAGATTGAAACTAGGATCCATACAAAAAAATAAAGCACATTAGAATATGAGTGTAAAAAGAAGGCTTTTTCCTTATTTCTGAATGTATTTAATAGACTGTTTAAAGCAAAAATAATAGCAATGTATTGTGAGGCTTATATAAGTAGAAATAAAACATGAAAGTAATATATATAGAAGTAAAATATGACAGCAATAGTACAGAAAATGGGAGCATGGTAAATGAAAGTATACTGTTGTAAGATTCTTACATTACAGGTGAAGTGGTATAATACTAATTCATGGTAGAATGTGGTAAGTTAAGGATACATATTACAATCACTAGATAAACCACTGGCAAAAGAACTATAACTAAAAAAGTCAATGATTATAATGAAAGGAATTAGAAATATGCAATTAAAAAGAATGCAAGAAAGAGGAAAAAGGAGCAAAAAACATTTGGGACAAATGGGAAACAAGATTGTAGACATAAACCCAGCTATATCACTAATTGTGTTAAAAGTAAGTAAACAGGTAAAAGGCAGAGAATGTCAGACTGAATATAAAAGCAAGACCTAACTATATACTATTTAACTATGAAGGTGAGAGGAATACATTCTCAAAATTGAAAGAACTCAAGGAATAGAGAATCTATGAGGTTTTTTAGAAAGACGTATGATAACCAATAAAGAGGTGAATCAAAAGAAATAATTCAGGAATGGAGACAACCTTATGGAAAGACCAGTGATGAGTGGAATCCATTTAGAATGAATATTGGGCTAATTAGGGCTACCAAATAGAATGTAAATAAAATAAATCTTTACAACATAAAAACACTGTAACATTTACTGAGCACTTGGTATCTTCCAGGCTCTTTGTAAGTACACATTTAAGCTTCTAACATACTTTACTGATGAGAAAACTGAGACTCATAGAGGCTGAATAACATGCCTAAGGTCACAAAGCTGACGAGTAATGGAGCTGGGACTGGAGCCTAGGTTTTCTGGCTGCAGAGCTCAGGCTTCATTAACCACTGTGCTGAACCCTTTCCCTAAGCTGAAATAATATAACCAACCAGCAAGAAGTAGAAGATGAGGGAGGAGAGATGGGAGGGTGTGTAAGATGCCAATATCCTCATATTTTCTAGTTGTGAGTCAGTACTCTCTAAATTTTAGTTAAAAAATAAAAACAATGACTAACCTTTTGATATTTTTAATTATTTATATCACAAGGGCCCATTTAGGAAATTTCTTTGGTGAAGAAATACTCTTCTGGCATTCAGCAGCTTCTTCAGTTTCACTTCAGTTTGGTTTTCTTCTGATAAATTCAAGTAAAATCAAAGTTAGTTTTTTACTAGCATATATAATCCAACTTTTCAGAGTACTTCTATCTAGCTGTGTATTCAGCCAGCCAGTATTTAATCTGAAGAACACTTCCTACAAAGGTGACTGGAAACAGTATTCTCTTAATGTGATGATGGTTCTTTCCAGGTGGTATATTTGGAAAGATTTCTTCAAAAAATAATGTTAAGGGACAGTTTAAATGTTTATATTTTTTGAGAATGGATGATAGTACATGGAAATTTCAAATTTCCATTAATAAACTAAAGAAAAAAAGTGAGCGCTGTAACTACCTCTGCTTAAAATGACCCATTAGTGGTTTCCCATTTATTGCTCCTAGGAGTCTAAGTCCAGGATCCTTAACACGACCTACCATACCCTGCACCATCTGACCCGTGCCTGGCTCTCCAGCTTTCTTCCCCAGGATTTCTGGGTTCTAGCCACATCGGGTCCTTTTCTCTTTATACCCTATTCCTTCTGCCTGGAACAAGTCATATTTTCTTTTCCTTCTTTTTTCTATTATTTCACAGCTCAGATGTCACTTCCTTGGGGAAGTGGTCCTTGATCTCACCTCCTAGTCTAGGTCAAGGTCCCGATATATTCTCAAAGCATCCTGTACTTTTTCTCCATACACTTGGCATACTTACAGTCATGCATTTACTTTTGTAGTAGTTTAATGTCTGCCTCATTAGACTATAAGATCCACAGACAGGGACAGAATCTGTTTGTTCCCCAGAACCTAGCATAGTAGTTGGCAAATAATGTACGTTCAGTATATATTTAAATAAACTTTTTTTCAAATGAGACCTTATGAGGCAGATCAAACAGGTAAAGAAGGCAAAAAGTGGAATGATAATAATAGCTACCTCATAGGGTTACAGCGAGAACATGGTATCTTATAAGCACTTTATTATATGTTTGCTGCTTTAAATATATACTGAGACATTCTAGGTTCTGCCCTGGCTTTGATTTGTTTTCTTTTTCTTTTCCTTCCTCCCAGGCGGACTGACCCAGGACCTGAAAGTTGCTTCCAGCTGCTTTCTGATGGCATGTGAGAAGCCTGGGAAGAAGTCCGTGGAGGCATGTCACAATGTTGGTCTCCTGGCACATGATGGGCAGGTCAACGATGATGGCAAGCCCGATCTGAGGAAGGCCAGAGACTATTATACAAGGGCCTGTGATGGCAGCTATGCCCCTAGCTGTTTCAACCTCAGTGCCATGTTTCTGCAGGGCGCTCCCGGCTTTCCCAAGGACATGAGCCTAGCATGCCAATACTCGATGAAAGCCTGTGACCTGGGCCATGTCTGGGCTTGTGCCAATGCCAGCCGCATGTACAAGCTGGGGGATGGTGTGGAAAAGGACGAAGCCAAGGCCGAGGCACTAAAAAATCGGGCCCTGCAGCTACAAAAAGAACAGCAGAAAAACATCCAACCTTTAACATTTGGGTAGTGTGGCCCACCCTGGTGCAACAGACGCTGGCACCCCCCAGTCCTGATGCACCCCTGAGAGGTCAACCTGCTGGAGCAGAAAGACTTGAGACTTGATATTCTCGTAGCCCTGGTTACGTATACCTGTTGCCCTAAAGTGTCACCGATTGGGATATAGCCTGAAGCGTTTATTTCATTAACTGGTGTGTTCTGTGAAGAGACCGACATTAATGGGGTCTTAGATCTCAAACTCTTAAACAGCTCTGTGAAAAAACAGCAAACCAGAGAGCCATAGAGAATGCGGGGGGCGGGGGGGGGGGCAGGGCGGTGGTGGAGAGAGGGGAGAAGGAGAGACAAAGAGCAGGAAACTGGAAATATTTGCAGCTACATGGCCTGAAGGAATCAGACTTGATCATCATGATTATTCATATTATTTTAGTTGGGAGGGGGCTTGAAAATCAGAAAGTATCTTGATTTACATAATAAAGGGCTTGAGGAACTAAGCACAGTCACGACTGCCACCCTCTGACTTATGTAATCATTGGTGTGGGCATTACTTTTGCCTTTAGAGTCACATTTTTCAATAAATTAAGAAATTGAGGTTAAAGGTTGATATGATTCAGAGTTGCTAAAGAGGATGAAACATAAGCCAGCCCTCAGTGGAGACATTCACAATGGGGTAGCATCCCTAGCCCCCTTACCTGGTGCCGCTCATCACATGGAGGGAGCAGATTATTCAGGTAGGGATTTGTAAGGGCTTTGTGACACATTTTTGTCCCTCAGAACTGAACCTTTTTAACTGTCCCTGTGAATAAAATATTTTGATTGATGAGTATTTTTGTTATTAATGTTCTCTCCAGATTCTGGGTAGGGTAGAGATTATGTTCTTCAGTGGCTGTGCATTTTCTGTACAATGTTTGCTTTTTCTATTCTCCTCCTAACTTGTCACTAGGGGGCAAGCTTGTCACTATCATGCTGGTAACAGGAGTGTTATTTCTGTCACCACCTACAGATTTTTGGGCTTCCAGTTTTGCAGCTGTGTTAGAAGGAAAGCTTGCTGTGTAGATGGTCTGTAAGCAGAGCTTACCAGTTTCTCCAGCTGATAGAGGAGAGTGACTTTGCTCAGAGCAGTCAAGTTCTAAAAAGCAAGTTCATTTTAAAAATACAGCTTTTGTCGTGTTTCAAATAAACAGGCCAGCAAGCATGTGAAAAGATGTTCAACATCACTAGTCATCAGGGAAATGCAAATCAAAACCACAATGAGGTAACTCCTTTCAGGATGGCTTTTTTTTTTTTTTTTTTTAAATCTCTATATATCTTTGCAAGGATATATAGAGATTGGAAACTTTATACATGGTTGGTGAGAATGTAAAATGGTGCAGCCACTATAGAAAAACAATATGATGATTCCTCAAAAAATTAAACAACATATGGTTCAGCAATTCCACTTACAGGTACATACTTGAAAAAATTAACATCAGGATCTCTGAGATATTTATACAACCATGCTCACAGAGGCAGTCACAATAGCCAAAACATACAATGGAATGTTAAGCGGCCTTAAAAGGAAGGAAATCTGATACATGCTGTAACATGGATGAACCTTGAAGACATTACGCTAAGTGAAAGAAGCCAGTCACAAAAAAACAAGTATTGTATGATTCCACTTAGATGAGGTATCTAAACGCGTATAAACAGTAGAATGGTGGTTGCCATGGTCTGGGGGGAGGGAGAAATGGGGAGTTGTTTAATGGGTATAGTGTTTCAGTTTTGCAAGATGAAAAACATCTGTAGACTACTTGCACAAAAAAGATGAATATTCTTAACACTACTGAACTGTACACTTACAAATCATTAAGATGGTAAATTTTATGTGTACTTAACCACAATTTTTTAAAAACCTGACATTTAATTTTTTTTAGATGCAAGATCTGAAATTTTTGACTATAAAAATACTATGTTCTTTTGAAATGCACTTTGGGACATAGCAAAAGAAACAATTGCTTTCACTACCCTTTACGACCTATCAGCATTCTTTGGCCCAATAATGATGTTTAACCATCTTTTAAGAATCACATCTTTTCCTAAGATTGACTTTATTTTTAATCTCCCCAGTAAGACATGTAGCAGCAGGTTGAAAACAATAACAACAAAGAACTAATGAAACAATAGGTTTCTACCCCTAGTAAGTTACTTGGCATTTTACAAATGGAAACAAAACATTTAATTTAGGCAGTCTGTCAAATAGACTATCCACAAGATCAGAGAGTGATGACTGACTTGTATAGTGTGAAAAGCCAACAGAAATCACCTGTTGGGGAACAAAAAATACAGTAACTCATTTCTACCGGCATTTCCTGTTAAGGGTAGAGTTAACTTTGCAAATCTGCCAAAAATAAAGCATCTAATTTGCTGAATGTTCTCATTTCCTAAATTTAACAGCACACTCGAAATTATTATTGGACTTCCATCTGTTGAGTAGAGAAATAGGAGTGTAAATTCAAAGATTTCAATGAGAATTTTCCTTTTAACTGCAAGGTAAATATTTATTGAATTAAAGTGTTTTGTTGCAACCACCATATATATTGGCTACATGTATCTTTAGAGCCACACTGAGTTCCTGTCCTTCCTAAGTACTTTAAAAGCTGTTTATGTTGGACATGTCAAATCATTTGGCTGAGGAATCCATGCACAAAAATCTCTTTTGCATTATTGTAACTTTTCACATAATAAATATTTGTTATTTTTTGTGAAGATTTTTATTCATTTTTAGAGAGAGGAGGAGAGGGAGGAATGGAGAGAAACATCAATGTGTGGTTGCCTCTTGTGCACCCCCCATCGGGGATATGGCCTGCAACCCAGGCATGTGCACTAAACTGGGAATTGAATCGACAGCTCCCCAGTTCACAGGCCAGCACTCAGTCCACTGAGCCACACCAGCCAGGGCCAAAATTAATATTCTTAGTCATTGGTTCATTTTAGCCGTAGGATCAAAGTTCATTAACATAAAGCCAAGTAGCATAGGCTTAGAGTGTGGATTGCATGTGTAAACTAAAACAAGATGGAAGGGGAAAGCATCACGTAGGTGTTTTTCAGATGACTTAGATCTTTTAAAAGATTTGTTAAAAGGTAATGAATTATTCCATGATGGTTTTATTTGATGTATCACTAGAAATAGTGAATTCAGTTTGATTTTTTAAAAAAATATTCACATCTTTGAAATAATAGGTTTTATAATTTTGACAAGGTTTATTTGACTTTTGGGCTATGTTTTTATAGACCTGTGGTGCCTGCCTGCCTGCCTGCCTTGGATCACATACTGAGATAGTGCTGGGAACAATAGAATAAGTATTAACAGTGTCAAAATACTACATTTTACAAAAGTCATTCAAATGCAAAGAGTAATAATTTACTATCCAGAAATGTCTTAAGGCCATCTCATATCCAGGTTGCCATGGCAAGGATTGGGTTGATAATGGTCAGCATGGCTGAGTTTCTCACTTTTGTTCAAGCTTTGAGGCAAGGTTTAAAAATGGGTTATCAGATTCTTGTCACAGCAAGCAGTATTATTACTGTGTTTTCCGACCAGTGGGCATTGGAATCATTACCAGCTATTTCCAATGCTTTCCCTCCCTGCCAGGCTTGGACTGGGTGGTCAAATGAGGGAGAAGTTTCATCATTGACTAGTGGCTTGTGTTCTCATTAGTGTTCTCACTAAAACCTCACAGTGCAATGCTGTGTGCTGTGAGAAAAGAAAGAAGGAGTCCCAGAGAAGGGTGGGAAGGATGGAGGGTCTAGAGATCTGGGTTTTATCTTCTGAGTCACGCAGCAACACTGAAGGGTTTTGAGCAGGAGAATGAAATAATCACATTTGGAAAACATATCCTAGTGTGGAAGGATTGGAGGAGAGCCATGTAGGGGGAGGAGAAGGGTGGAATCAAGCATGTGGATAAAAAATAAGCAGATTTCAAGAGTATTTGAGATCTTGCTCCCCAGCATTTTTCATCAGTTTGGTGTAAACTCTTATAAAAATTTAATTAAAAACAAAACAAAACACAAACATTTCTAGCCTGGGCCCTTGGGTGGACAGGGGGAGCCATTCATATTGATTTGGAGCCTATGAGTTCAAGATGGGGATAAAAGAACTTTCCAGAGCTGTTTGGTAATTCTTTTAAATTTAGAAATACATTACATTTTAATTTGTTAATGTTTTATGAAATTGCTTGAAAAATTTTGTGAGAGGGAAGAAGGAAAATGCCTAGCTTGACTTTAGGTTCTACCGCGTGCCACTCTGGATTAGTCAAAGGCATACTAAGCATGAGTGTTTAGGGCACATAACAAAGAATGGGAAAACAGAAATTAAAAAAGAATTTACATTTTTAAAAAGCCCAAGTAATCACCTTGGGGGGAAAATGCAAACTTTTGTTCCTAATATTTGTTTTGCGGTTTAGGTCCCTTTAATGTGAATTCTACATTAGGGTTGGGGGGCACCAGATTTTTGGAGGTTCGTAGGTCTAAAGGTCTTAACCAGTTCCGATCTGGGGTTTGCCCTTTATTGGCTGTGTGACCTCAGGCAAGTTACCTAACCTTCTGGGTCTTGGTTTTGTCACCTCTTAGATGGGGATATCAATTCCTTCCAGGAATTCCAGGGTTAAGAGGATTAAATAGTAGTTCTTATCATAGAATGATAAACGTTCCTTTAAAAAGTTCGTTTATGGGTCCAGATTTTACAATTAGATATTTATTTTCTCTCTAAGTGGCAATGTTGGCTTGTGAAGGAGTCTAGCTTTTAAAACAGGCTGCCTCTGCTGGCATTCTTTTAAACCCCCAGAGCTGATTGTGAGGCTCTCTAGGGGTATTCAGGGCATAAAACAGCTGCAGGAGGCAGGCGTAGAGAGGGGGTGGGGATGGGGCCTGCCCTCCTACTTCCTCTCTTCCCTGCTGCCCTAGTAGAGAGTCTCCGAGAAGACTTGCACCTGCTGGGGGCCCAGAGTGGAAACTATTCTCAGCTGATGCCCCTCTCCAGGCTTGAGGAGTGGTGATTGTGTTACAGTTTATAAATCAGCCCTCCCCGCTGTCTAAAGGGGAAAGGCCAAAATTTTTTGCCCAACATATAAGTCTCCCCACCGCCATGATACAGTCCCTGCCTCCATTTTTAGCTCCATCTTGTTCCTAACCTGGGCTTCTACAACAGGAAGGAACTGCGTATAGTCGCTGTACCACTGCCACAAAAATAACGAAAGCAACCAGGCTGTTTCTTTCTGCCATGTTTTTGTGATGTT